GGGGGGGACACAAACAATCCTAGGGGGCACGCCAACAAAAGCGTGGCTCATTGCTGAACAGTCATTTTGGAGGACGGAGTCGTCTGCCTAAATACACACAACAGGACAGCGACACAGCGAAGGCTACATAAAACGACTGTTAACAGGAAAACATTGAAATATTAAATTATTTTTTTTTCGATTGCATGTCTTTTCTTCTTCTCTCTGAACGTAAAATTCCACTATAATGATAATTTAATGACACGATGACTGGCAAATAATACGTGAGGAAGAAATATTTTACAAACGCAAAAAAAGGAGCGAACAAAATTAGCAGTGCAGCCAGCCATTAGGACTTGGAGTGGGGGTATGGGGGCGCGTCGAGCCAAGTCGCTTTACCAGCAGACGTTATTCATCTAAATTAAAATAAATAACAAACGGTCCAAAGGGGCCCTCCCATGATGACGAGGGGTGAAATGAGCCTCTAACTTCTTCTTCCTTCTCTCATCTTACCTCTCTTCCCCCCTCCCCCCTCTCTCTCTCTGTCTGTCTCTCTCTCTCACTCTCTTTTTTCTCTTTCTGTTTCTCTCTCCCTCGCTCGCCTTTTCTGTCTCGTTGGCCTTCTCCCACACTCTTTCTCTCTGTCCCCCTGTCCTCTTTCCAATCCTTTCTGAAGGGGCAAGGGGCAACCCCAAGCAATCATGTTTGCCGGTACCAGGAATGTCACGTGATGCAATCGTCATTTCTTAACGCAATATTTGTACGTGGTGTGTGTGTGTATTCAGCCGTGCATCAACAAGCGAACAAGCGTGCTCGCACGAGAACATTTCCATTTCTGGTTGCTTGTACTACGTGAGCAGTGTCCGGCAGTGTCCAAATTGCCCACCACTCCGGTTATGGTGTTCCGTCGTTTTGCTGAAAGTAGGGAGGCGAAAGAAAGGAAATAGTAAAAAAGAAAAAAACACAGAGCTGCATCAGCAAGCAGAATGGGACTCGCTGTCATTGACGCCCGAGACAGACGCTCGGCGACAACAAGCCCGGGGGCTCCCCCACGCCCCGCCCCCGGTCCAGTCGTCGAGCCGGCCAACGCCCCCCATGACTGAACCGACGGCACGCCCACCCGCCCAAGTAGATCTATCTATTACATCCATAACGATAGTCTTAATAAAGGCGACACAGTTGCTATACGCTGCGAGCGCTATTTTTATTTGATTTGGTTTATTTTCAAATTTGTTTGCATGCCTGTTTCCGTGCGCGCCCAGCAGGCGCCCCTATTTATTACCGCCGTCGTATCAGGCGCGTATTAAGGGGGGGTGCGGTGGGGGCGATCGCCCCCCCTGTGGGCCACTAGATAGCCGCCTAAAGGTAGGCAATGTGACCTACAAAACCCCTGTCCGCCCCCCCTTAATACGCCACTGCGTCGTATCCTGGTGCCTTTATGGTGTTTGCGTTCGTCCTTTCCCCCGAGGACCTGGGTTGAGGAAGGAGTATCAGCAGCGCGGCGCGGCGGCACAATGCCTCCCTCGGCCCGCCTACGCAAGGCGTAGACGGAGCGGTCAGCAGCAGAGACTCAGCCGTACCGCGGCACTGCGATAAAAATGTGTAGCGTGTAGCGAAAGGTTTATGTCACAAAACGACGCGGCATTTTTTTGTTTCAATTTATTTTTCCGACCATAGGTCTAATTTCTTTCCCCCTCCCCGCCTAGGAAACAGACTATGTCGTAAATTCACGATCGCTTGACAGAATTTACGACATTTCTCCTTTAATTGGAAACCTACATGGTTATTAACTTTCAAAGTCTGCTTGTTGTTGTTGTTGTTTTTTTTTGTTCGAGTTGTTGTTGGGCGTAGCTCTCGGCTATTTCCTTGCCTTTCTTCCTCCTCCCCCCCTCCGTGGGCATATACCGGCCTTGCCGTAAACTTACGCGGCGCCGGGCCGCTTTGTCAACGTAAGTAGTTGTCGTGGGGCGCCCACTGCCTACACGTCGTCCCGAACATGTCATCGCCGTCGACGTTACCGTATCCCATAACTCTAGAAAACCTTGAAAACCTGGAAAACTCAGGGAAATAAAAATCGCTCCGGGAAAAGTCAGGGAAAATGAAAATGAGCCAGGGAAATTTGTTCTGATCGGAAAAGTCAGGGAAAAATTTTGTGGCAACCATGGTAAACTGGTTGACAACTTTTAACGCAAAATTTTGGCTTTCATAAAGACGCCAAAAAATGCCAGAAGGATGGATGATATTGGCGTGCAAAGCAGCCGAATTATTCATTAGGATTTTCTCGTCTCATATGGTGTTTAGAAAAATCCCCTTAGAGAAGCCCATGTTAGAATTCCTAAAAATGTTTAGTGTTGCAGTCCGTTGCTCTTGGTGAGTGTGGGTATTATTATTTCCATAAAAGCCGAATGATGTTTCCCATATCATCCTATTATACTCCCTTCCACCTCTCTCTTGTTGTGCGATAGTATACTCAGCAAAGCCAGGTCATGACCTCCCCCCCCACCCCACCCCCAGGCACTCCGCTCCTCTTCTTCTGTTTCAGCCGTGCACCAAAACGCTGCTCTGCCAATTTGTTTTTTACTCGTTCTTTACCACCACCTGCACCTACTCAGTGGTAGAAGAACGAGTATTGATCTCAGTGCGATGTCACGCGTTACGCTATTCATGCTCGGAGTACAGAATATGTACACTTATGATACTTGTACCATTCGAAACTGGGAATGTTGTAGGCGTGACCAACAATGGACCTTTTTTCAAGTTTGACACTACTTTTTTGAGAACTCTTAACAAAATTCGCCGGTTTTCGTTCTAAGTCGATAGACCCGTGCCGCACAACGAATCTTTATCTTGCAACACGAAGCGCATACAGACATGACAACAATACTACCATTCGAAACTTCGTTTGCTAGTATTACTGGAAGCAATGAAGATTGTTTTGGTCTAATAGCAAAATTTTGAGAACTCTTAACAGATTTCACAAGTTTTCAGTCTAAGTCCCGTCTGCCGATGTTGCTTCTGCTATTGTGCCGCCAACTGTAGATTCATATTCATTTTGGTTTTCACGGAACGCGCATCTTTTTGAAAGCGCCGACTTTTGCGACAATGCTCTTGTCTTGTGACCTGAAGGGAATACCGAGAAAAGCGCCTGTTTTAGCCTTCTTTTTAATTTCGTCATCATCCAGTTTCATATGGTACATGTTTAATAATAACATATATTCTCAGAGAAACGTGACACATGTTAACAGAACAACACTCGTTGATTCTACAACCATATAGATGTAAAGCAACTGAGCACTGTGGGTGTCTGTAAAGAACGAGTACCAGTATTCACACAAAATTAATTTTGTGTTTTCTTTCCTCCTTGTTTTTTCATGTGCGGTCGCTTTACTCTTCCTCTAATCTTTAGGGGACCGCACCGCATGAACGATATCACATGTCTCTCCTGTTTGTATTTCTTTAGGTGTTCATCTTTTCGATTGAGCCTATGGAGGGTGGTTACGACTGCTGGGCCACGTTCGTGCCGCAGTGGGGTCAGCGAGCCTACGTCACGTGGTAAGTACACAAAATAAAACTGCACATAAACAATTTTATAAGTTGTATAAAAACTAACAGTTTACTGTCATGTAAAATTAATTTACTGGGGGGGGGAAGGGGGGGGGGGTGATACAAGAGAAAAGACGAGGAGCAATTTATCTATTCGTAACTGCTGGACCCGGTTGAAGTCAGTGACAACTAAAGTATAGTCCTTCCACCCCCCTCCCCCCCTTCCTCTAAATGGTGGGGTGGTAATGTGTGTTGTGAATCGTAAATTTCTTCTCTCATTCCTGATGTTGCGCCGTTGCGGCGTTGTCGTGCCAGGAAAGAGGAGGAAAAATGGCTATGAAAAACACACTCGAGTTAAAGAGGCGCAGAAGGTAATTTATTTGATACGCCAATAACTTTTTAAACTGTGAAGTCGCAAGATGTATTTAGCTATGTTCGCTTCTCTCTGGGCTGGGATCGTGCACCATTGCACCATACACCATATCTCTCGCAAAACACGTAATTTAATAATTTTACCTCTTCTAAAAATTAAAAGAGGGAGAAAAATTTAAATTGCACGCATGCACCGGAAACCAAAGTTTATGAATGTCGCACGTCGCACACTTTGTAGGCGTGTGAACGCCATACTATGGTGACACAATTTGTAAATTTTGAGGGAAAATTCACACTTTTACTCTCTCAAGTGGGGCATTGCGCCCCTACTTCTGTGCGACATTCATCGCCCACTTGCGTTTCCAGTGTGCAAATGTTATTGTTTTTATTTACTGTGGAGGAAGCGGTAAGAAGGACTGGGTTGTGGAGTCGCAGGCCTCCATTCCGCAGGCTTCCAGGCCACTCCAGGCCCCCGAGCAGGTGGAGGGGTGACACTGAAGAATGCGCCGACGAGGCAAAAACTCGAGGCCCAACTTGCCGGGCTCGCCTCCTCTGAGACTGGAATCGGCGGGTGGGCGAGCTGCTCGCAGTAGCGAGCGCGCACAGCCGTAGGCCGTTGTGTAACGCCATGCGAGGTGTAGCGTGCAGGGTGGGGAGGGGGAGACGTGTTTATGGGACAAGGTTGCGGAGCAACTTCCGCGCTCTTGTTTGTTCCAGAAGTGGGCGCCCGCTGATGGCACTCGGAGGTGTTAAGGAATGCATGGAGGAGTGACGGGCCTCCAACCCCAATCCTAACCGCCTTCCTTAGCCCCGTGACGGGGCTGCAGGAAACACGCACACGCCCAACACTCACGCCCACCCCAACGCCCCTCCCCCTCCCCACATACATACATACACACTCGCAATTCCACTCACAAAAGCGCGAAAGAGAACGCCCTCCTCTCGCATTTAGGTAGGTGTGAGGGGTTTTGCGACAGGGCCTTTGACCACAAAAGACACTGAGCTGGAAATGTCTAAAGCTTCACACACGCAGTCAGGGTGCGTCGGTGTGAGAATTTCAAATTAGATGACGTATCTAGTTATACTGCAACAACAATTTCAGAGAAGCAAAATTAAACCATCTCCATTGCTCTGATGCTACCAGACTTCCACGCCACGAAAAAGTGCCCAATTTATACAGCGAGTCTTCATTAACGGCCCCTTAAGGTGATCATGTTGAGTTCCTTTGCGTTGGGGAAACTGTTCTTAACTTCATAAAATCACTAATTTTGAAACCTGTAAAACTCTACCGCGTGCAACACACACCACTGTTGACGCCGTGGTCGCCTAGCTTGCCAAAATGTTGGCAGTCCTTTTTGATTTGCCAAGTTTTGGTCGTCTTCTGGAGGCTACCAATTTTTGGCCTCTTTGCACTGGAAACGCAAGTGTGTGAATGTCGCACACTTGCAGGTGTGTGAATGTTTATTCGTACACTTAGGGGGGTAAACGTGTGAATTTTTCCTACAAAATTCACACGTTTACCCTCGTAAGTGTACGAATGGATATTCACACACCTGCAAGTGTGCGACATTCACACACTTGCGTTTCCAGTGTGCTTGCCAAATTTTGGTCGTCTTTTTGGAGGCTGCCAATTTTTGGCCTCCTTGCTTGCAAAAATTTGACCTTCCTTCAAAAGGGGGCCAAAATTTGGCAATCACAAAGGACTGCCAACATTTATTGGGAAGCTAGGCGACCACGGCGTTAACAGTGATCTCCTCTGTTTTGGCGCGGTCGTTAACTGAACGCTTAGGAGCGCGCCGGAGTGTGTAAAGTGCCGCTCTGTGCGCGGTCCGCCCCTGACACCTAACCTGGAGCCGCCGCCGCCCCTCTCTGGCCGGGCCTGAGGGCCCCCTCGGGGCTCCTGTTCGCTAAGGTGGTCGCTAATTGGCTGAGCGAGCTGGAGAGACCATGAATGGCCCTCGTTAGGACCTTCCGGCGCGCTGCACCATGTGGCTATATATATATATATGGGCGCGCACAGTGTTCCGAGTCGGGTGGTGCGACTTGCAACCCTCGGACCTCCTTGTATACTCTGTCAATTCAAATGTGTACATGGTACTCATTAAAGAAAGTGTACATGGCATGTATGCTTTAATTAATGTGTACACGGCTATGTACACATTTATAAATGTTTGCCACATAGGCATGTACACATTAATTAAAGCATACATGCCATGTACACTTTATTTAATGTGTACTATGTACACATTTGAGTTGACAGAGTAGCGTGTGCGAGAAACATTGCATTATGACATCAAAAACTTGTGTATATTTACACCTACTCTCTACTTCCCGTTGGTTTTTTTTTCTTAACTGTCGATGAAGCACACGTATTTTACTAATGAATGGATACCTGGCAACCTGGCATCCTTACCTACTTTGTGTAGCGTCGGTTAAATTTGATGCCCCTCGGCGTAACAGGAAAAAGCACGCATGTTGGAGGCGGGTGTTGTTGGCCTTCCGGGCCGGCAGGGCATGGAAATCCAATGCGGAAAAGTTTCTGATAGTCTCGCTTCCCGCTAAACGGCGCCCGAAATTACTTTGACGGCGAAGTATGGGACCAGCGTGGCGTGGGAGAAAAGCGCGACACGCCCCGTGTACGGCAGGACTTTCCGTTGCGCGGGAGGCTCAAATTTCCCTCGAGCTCGCGATGCGATGCGGCTGGGGCTGTAACTGGATTAGCAAAAAAGTTTTTGTCATTGAACGGCCTGTGTGGCTGGCGTGCTCTTGGTTTCCCGTCTCAGATGCCAGACATGTATACCACTGGCTAAAAGAGGGTAGATGACTGCTTTACAGAAGTGCTTAATTTCACAATCTTTGCTGGTGGAAAGTGGCGAGAATCGATTATACGAACGGTTTGATTTTTATTCGAGTTCGATCGAGTGCGAACATGTGTTTTGCTCATTTCTAGTCGTGAAAGAATCTGACTGAAAAAGAACTGGAACCAAACAAGATTTTTAAAGTGTAAATTGTAAACAATACAAATGGTAATTGCAGTATTAAAGGAAGTGTTATTACAGTTTGAAATTGTACTTAAGATATAGGCAACGATGGTAATAACGACAGACATTATTTTCCGTAGGTTTTTCTTCAGTGTGACCCTTTTTCGACTGCAGGTACACGTGCTCCGTGTTCATGATCCCGCTGGCCGTGCTGCTCTTCACGTACTCGCGCATCTGCTGCGAGATCTGGCGCAGCGCGTCCAGCAAGCACGCCCCTACGCTCGGCACCTGCAAGACCTGCCCGCACGTGCACGCCTACGCCTACAGGTGAGTACCTGTAAAGCAAACATCTAATGCGAAGAAAATGTGCCGGTGCCGTTAAGTCACACCGGAAATTTTTAATTCAAAATTTCAAGAGAGATGTAAAAAAAAAAAAAAAAAAACACCCCGATTAGTTGGAAAAAAATTGATTAGAATTTGTAAATGGTTTTGTTTTGAAATTCCGGGCGACTTGTGAAAATGTAGTAGGCCTATGTGTAAATGTAATTTGAACGTAGCTAGATGGAGTTGTGATAGATGATGTGTCCTTGGTTAGCCACCTGACACAGCATGATCACCTTTGACTCCTTGCCAACTGTGAGGTCCCCCCACCCCTTCAACCCCCTTTTCTCTCTCGCTCACACCGGGTCAGCATTCGCATCGCGTCCCTGCTGCCGAGGTGAGCCTTGCAGATGCCAAATTAACTTGATTGCTAGTGGGCGTGGACCAGCAGCAGCGTGGGCTCGTGCGAGATCTCCGCCTGGCCGGGGGAGG